AGGGATGGACACTGGGAGGAGGTAACTATGGGGAGGAAATGGGAGGGGAGCTGTTGCATTGTAAATTTTGGTCAATGACATGAGACAAAGTATATGTGAACTGCTGTATGAAAAGTCAATTTACTCTGTAAATCTTCACTCAAATCAAAATAAAATTAAAAAAAAAAAAGATAATTAATTTAGAGTAAGAAATGTAATAAGGATTTAATTTTACCTTTTTCCAAATACTGGTTATTGAATATCTCATATTTTCCCCCACCAATCTGGGATACAGCCTTTATCATAAGCTATTTTTGCGTATATACTTGATCTCCTTTCTGCTAAGGCTTTACCACATGGTTTGCTACACTTAGGTGGTAAATTCCACTTTAGTTATCAGTTCATTTCTTTCTCTCATTGGTAACCCCACTGCTAGGCCCTATCTCTCCTACCTCCATACTGTGTACTATGCACTGCCATCGAGTTGATTCTGAACCATAACAACCCTTCAGAATGAGTAGAACTACCCCATAGGATTTTCAAGGCTATACATCTTTATGGAAGCAGACTTCCTTATCTTTCTCCCATGCAGCAGCTGGTGGTTTCCAACCACTGACCTTCTGATTGGGAGCTGAATGCTTTAACCACTGCACCACCAGAGAACCTCTGCTATGTAGTATATGTACTGTGTACTACCATAGAGGCTAGCTAGGATGTCAGATACTTTGAATATATGGAAGAAAACCTGAGAAGTTTTACAATAGTAATGCCAAAACTTTTATTATTCGTGGTTAGTAAATTTTAGTATTTTCTTTCCAGTGGAGCTGTTTGGTAAACTAGTTCCTTTTCTGGTTCAAAATTACCTTATCTGTTTTAAACAAGAGTATGCCTGGATTTAAATTTCTACTCAGTTACTAGCTTTTTGACTTTGGACAACTTAACCAAAAATTGTTTCTCCCTCATAGAATTGTTGTATTAAGTAGATAAATACATGTGAAGTGTCTAGAATAAGTACTTCATACATACTCAGTGTGCAGTAAATGTTAATTGTTACTACTATATCATATCACAGGAATTCTGAGGCATATTAGATACTTTAAAAAATGCTGTTTTTTTCCTTGTTTGTTTTCTTTTTTAAGGGGACAATACATCTTTTTCGAAAACCACAAAGATCTCTTTTTGGAAAGTTATTACAGGAATTTAGACTTGTAGCAGCTGACCGAAGGGTAAGTTATTTTTAGTTCTTTATCCTAAATTTTAATTATTGAACAAACACATTATGACATTAACAAAAGATAATTTTAAAGGAAATAGAAATCATTCTTAATCCTACCACATTATTTTCATTTTTCTATAATGGATAAGTAATTTTTTAATGTAAAATACAGTTGTTTGATGTATAGCCATTTTGATTTAGTGGGAAGAGCTAGGCTTCAGTTAGTTTTTTATTCTAAATGTAAAGTGTTTTAAATTAAAAAAAAAAAATTGTACTCGCTCACTACCATCAAGTTGATTTGACTCATAACAACCCCTCCTTGGGTTTCTGAGGTGGTATCTCTATGGAATTGCCTTATTTTTTTAAAATGGAATAAATGTAGTCTAAAGCTATGATGTAAATAAAAAGATACTTATAACTAGTACCCTTTGTAGTACCAGTGTTGTTTTCATTGTTCTCATTATTGTCTAAACTATACTGTAAACTTCATGAGGGCAGTAACTGTGTCCATTCTGCTTACCTTTTTGCAGAGTAAGCACTCATAAGTGTTATATGAATTTTAAATAAATGCATCAAACTTCATTGGTGCATCATAATAAGCAGTCACAATGATACTGCCAATAATGTGTACCGTGATCATGAAATAAAAAGCTGCTGCTTTTTTTTTTTTTTTTAATTTGCCACTGAATCTCTTGTTCCTAAAATCTTGGATTATCATCAGAACTCAATAAATTTAGTGTTTGGAAATATTATCATGGCCTGAATGTTAAATCTCAAGAGCCAAGAGTAGATAATTTATCTACTTCTTAGATATCTAGTCCATTAAGGAAGATCCCTTAAGAATAGCTAGATAAATATAGCTGTTTTATATTCTTTAAGAGTACACTTAATTGAAGCATAATGTACTACATAACAGGTAGTAGGAGCAATACAGGAACATCTGAATGGTATAGATATTCTCTATTATAATTTAAATCTTGAGATATACCTGGTTCATCTCTTTTCACCACAGCTTCTATCAAAATTCTTGGTGATTTCACAGTTTCTTACAGTTCTTTGCCACCAATATAATTTAATCCTTCATACCAACCCCAGCTATCCACTCCAATGGTCATATCATAGACATTATCATTTATAATAGTTATGTCCTTCTGTTGTCTCAATTTTAAGCATTTGACTTACCTGTCATCATCTCCTGTCTTTCCAGTTCATGCCTTCTAGTACCCCAACTCTAAGAGTTCTTTGGTCTTATCGGGACCTCCAATCCATTGACTATGCCATATTTTCACTGTATCTCACCTACTTTTTTTTTTCACTTGCTTCCTTATCCAGTTTAGGTTCTATGATTCATCATTATTGTTTTCTTGCATATGCCCTCAACTCTTTTGTCCCTCTCTTTGCTTTATCATACTTTCTATCTTTCATCTCTGACAAAACCTTAGCATTCATTAAGTCCACTTTCTTTCTACACTGTATATGCACTAAACTGAACATAGCCTGAGAGAAACACAAAATCATGCTGATTATTCTCATTTAAAATTAATGATAAGCAGGCTGTTTGTGCAGCCTGTGTTACCACATTAAGTTTGATGCCTACTAGATATACCTTAGGAGCTCTGGTAGCATAGTGGCTAGAGCACTTGACTGCTAACCAGAAGGCTGGCGGTTCAAACCCACCAGCCACTCCTCGGAAGGAAGGTTGGGCAATCCTACTTCCGTAGTGATACTGCCTCGGAAACCCAAGGAGGGGTCGCTATGAGTCGGGGTCGACTCGATGGCACATAACAACAACAACAACAACAGATATACATTATTTCATTAAATTAGATAGACGTCATCCAGGAGAGTGGAGGACTTAGTTCATTCAGTTTCCCACTCTCTTAAATTACTTTTCATATCCTTTTCTTCAACTCTGTTCTCAAATGTCCAAAATCATCATCTCCTTTTTTACTCCAACCTGATGATCTTCCTTCCTGTTTCCCTACAAAAAGGGTGTGGGATCAGTGCTGTCTACCTCCTCTAACTTCATGAGATGGAGGGAGAATCACCTTCAGCATCAACAGTGGTAGGCTGATTCCTGTGAGGCGAAAGTCAGACATGCCCCCCACCCTCCAACCTTTTTACCAATTCTGACTGCAACCGTCACTCCCATGGCACTCTCTACTTCTCTGTTGGGTTCAATAATTTGTTGTGATGGCCACACAGAACTTAAGAGACATTAGTCACGATTTTGGGGTTTATTAAGAAAGTAAAAAGTTACAGTTTAGGTTCAGAAATATTTAGGATACAGTGTTTCAATCAAGACAGCCACTCCTCAGCCATGGTAATAGGCATGCCTCTCTTTGGCCCTCAATTCATCAGCTTAGTCTCTGCTCTGCTAGAGCAAGCATTACAAAGCTCTTAGCTCTGTGGATATATACCTGGAAGAGCATCTTATCTCACCAGAAAGCCTTCTTCCGGAAGGCACTCAGCCTTCTTGCTCTATGGTTCATTCAGATAGGCTGCCACTTTGTCTCCTACTGGTCTCTTGGTTCTGCTGCCTCTGCTGCTGTGGTTTCTCTTTGCTGCCATCTTTCGCTACCTCAACAAAGTGTTACAGATCTCTCTCTACTGGATCGAGGATGTTCAGTGCAAGGATTTTGGGTCCAAAGGACGTGTTCCACTCCTGGCTGTTTTTCTTTTTTTTGGTTTTTATTGTGATTTGGTTGAAAGTTTACAGAGCATATTCATTTTCCATATAGCAGCTCACATATACTTTGTCTCATGACATTGCCTGCAATTGCCCACTATGTAACAGTTCCCCTATCCCCTCCTCCCCATAGTTACTTCTTCCCTGTGTCCTTCCCTCCCATGAACTCCTGCACCCCCAGCTGTCTTCCTGCGCATACTTAGACCTTCTATTCTGCCATGATTGTTCTCTCCGAGGAGTGTATTTCCCTAAAGTAAATAAATGTTCAACTTGCATGCCTGTCTTTTGTTTGCCTGGAAGCTACGGGAGTGGGTTAAATTCCAGACCTGAAGGGCGGCTAGGGACCATAGTCTCTGCTTCCATCAGGCTCTATCAGACCAGCAAACCTGGTCCCTTTTTTTATTTCATTATTTTGAATTTTGTTCCACATTGTTCTCCCACACTGTCCAGGACCTGGCTGTTTTTCTTGATCCCCTTTCTGCCTCTGGGCAGCTCAGTTTAAGCTTAGCAGGATGACAAAACTCAGCAATCCCTGTGTTACAGTTCCATTCACTTTATTTGCATTGTCCCTCCCACACAAGGGTGCCATGTACCTTACTTATATTATTAAACTCTCCAATCCTCTGGGTGGACCACAAGCACCTAACATTTGCATGGTCCCACTCACTCATCTGATGGGAATCACAAAGACTATGGCTAAAAGACCCATATTAAGTAAGTTCACTGCACTGCATTCACTAAGAGAAAAAAAGTAATCAGAGGAGAACTTCCATATCCTATCATTAATACGTTTACCAACACTCTGTCTCCTCTCCATGTTCTGTGAATGAACTGTCTTGTCTGCTAAGTAAGGCGAATCTCACCACTTATTATCTACTCAAAGAATGTTCCTCTCTTGTATCATTGTTCCTTCTTGCATCATTCTCCTTCTTACATTATAATTTCATGCTGTATTTTACTCTCAGCTGTTGCTTCATTTCTCTGGTTCCTTTTATAAAACGACTGTGGTGTATAAATTACATGATATGGCTTTTCTAGCCATAGTCTTTGTAACTCCCACTTTGCCATGAGCAACTGAGTAGCTGTTTGTTAAAATTCATCCACCTGGGGCAGCATGAAGTAATCTTCTGGGGAAAGTTCACTCTCTCTCAGGTGTGTAGAATTCTGATGTTGGGATTGGTTGGTTTGGCCCTTCTGCCAGGCTCAAAAGGAGCCCTCCTAGAGGCAGGAGTTATCTCTGACTGTGGGCTGAGAGAGATGCACTGCTTAGAAAGGTGTGCGGCTGAGAGAGAGGGAGACGCATGGCTGGGAGACGGCGGCAGTGGTTCCACAAGAGGCACGAGGCAGATTGGCAGGCCTACCTGGCCCACAGAGGCAGAAGGCAGGCCAAGAGGCCAAGGGTCAGAAATGTATGTCTAAGGACACAGCAGAGGGGAGACTATCCTGAGCGAAGAACTATATCCTGAGTGCATTCCTGATCTTGAATTGTAACCTGTTGCTTCCCTAATAAACTCCATAATCCATGAGTTCTTTGTGGCCATTGCAGCAAATTGTCAAACCTAGTAGAGAAGTGGTGGGTGCCATGAGAGTGTTGGTTGGTGTAAAGGTTAGTAAGAGGGCTAGAGGGTGGCAGCATGTCTGGCCTCATGGGAACAGGCCTTAGGCTGCTGATGGTGATTCTGTCTTTCTCTTGTGTAGTTAGAGGAGGTCAAAAAAAAAAAAAAAAAATGGCCTCCTGCACCTTTAGCAATGACTTAAAAGGCTTATCTATATTCTTTGTGTTCACTTTCTTTTCTCCCTGTCTCTGTTGAACCCATACCAATCTGACTCTTTTAGTCATCAGTCCACACAAACAGTTTTATAAGGTAACCAGTGACCTCAGTGTTGCCAAAATCGATACTTGTATTCATTTCTCATCTTACTTGACTTGGAACGGCCTTTGACAAAATGGGTCACTTCCTCGGTACAACACTATTCACATATACTCTTAAGGCACCATTATTGGCTTTCCTTCTACTTTGTTGTTGTTTGTTGTTAGGTGCCATCAAGTTAGCTCTGACTCATAAAGACACTATGTACAACAGAACGAAACACTGCCCGCTCTGCGCCATCCTAGTTGCAGCCTGTGTCAGTCCATCTTATTGAGGGTCTTCCTCTTTTTTGCTGACTCTGTACTTTACCAAGCACGATGTCCTTCTCCAGGGACTGGTTCCTCCCGAAAACATGTCCAAAGTATGTCAGATGAAATCTTACCATCCTTGCTTCTAAGGAGCATTCTGGCTGTACTTCTTCCAAGACATATTTGTTTATACTTCTGGCGGTTCATGGTATATTCAATATTTTTTGCCAACACCACAATTCAAATTCATCAGTTCTTTGCTCTTCCTTATTTGTTGTACAGATTTTGCACTTATATAAGGTGATTAAAAATACCATAGCTTGAGTCAGGTACACCTTAGTCCTCAAGGTGAAATCTTTGCTTTTTTATACTTTAAAGAGGTCTTTTGCAGCAGATTTTCCCAATGCAGTATATCATTTGGTTTCTTGACTGCTGCTTCCATGGGTGTTGATTGCAGGTCCAAGTAAAATGAAATCCTTGAGAACTTTAATCTTTTCTCTATTTATCATGATGTTGTTTATTAGTCCAGTTGTGAGGACTCTGTTTTCTTTATATTGAGGTGTAATCCATACTGAAGTCTGTTGTCTTTGATTTTCATCAGTAAGTGCTTCAAATCCTCTTTGCTTTCAGCAAACAATGTTGTATTATCTGCTTATCACAAGTTGTAGGTCTTTTCTCCAATCCTGATACCACATTCTTCTTCATACAGTCCAGCTTCTAAGATTATTTGCTCAGCATACAGAGTGAATAAGTATGCTGAAAGGATGTAGCCCTGACACACGCCTTTCCTGATTTTAAGCTGTGTGATAGCTAGCCCCTTATTCTGTTCGGATGACTGCCTCTTGGTTTATGTACAGGTTCCACATGAGTACAGTGAAGTATTCTGGAATTCCCTTTCATTGCAATGTAATCCATAATTTGTTATGATCCACACAGTCAAATGCCTTTGAATAGTCAATAAAACATAAGTAAAAATCTTTCTGGTATTCTTTGCTTTCAGCCAAGATCCATCTGATATCAGCAGTGATATCACTTGTTCCATGTCCTCTCTGAATCCATCTTGAATTTCTGACATTCCTCCATTGATATACTGCTGCTTATTTCTTATTCCTACTCTCTTGGCCATTATTATTATTTTAAGATAATATTTTATTGTATTTTTGGTGAACGTGTATGTAACAAAAAAGGTTTCCATTCAATAATTTTTACACTTAATGTCTAATGACATTGGTTATATTCTTCAGTTTGCCAGTATTCTCATGATTTTCATTCTAGTTGTTTCATTCCCAATAATTTAATGGCCATTTTAAATCTCTTTTGCCGCTTTCTTCTCACTTTTCTGACCTTTGACTTTTGGAGTGTCCTAGGGCTTAGAGCTCCAGCCTCTTCTCAAGTATGTTTCCTTGTAGGCGATTCTACTAGTTCCATTGCTTTAACTACCATCTGTATGCTGATGATCCCATATTTATATCTCAAACTATTCTCTCCGCCACCCCTCGATTCCTATATGTAATCTGTATGCACATTTCCATTTGGATATCTAATAGGCATTCCAGACTTCATGAAGTAAATCTGAACTTTGATCTTCTACCCTTTCCTCACTAAATGGCTACTCTGTTCTGAATCTTCAGGCCAGAAACCTTGGAATCATTCTCAACTCTTTTCCCTCACTCCTCACATCTGTTTTATCAGCAAATCCTGCTAGCTCTATCTTCAATAATTACCAGAAACTGACTGTTCCAACACCTTGTTACCACCTTCAGAGCCACAGTCATTTCTCACATGGGTTATAGTAGTCACATTCTAAATGGTCTTCCTACTTCCATCCTTACTCTAATAAAGTCCATTTTCCATAGAGCAGCCAGAATGATCTTTTTGGAGTACAACGTCACTTTCTATCTCATTGGAAATAAATCCCAATTCCTTTCCCACTGTACAAAACACTATTTCTTACTCAGCTAGGCACTGTTCCACCTCTGGGCATTTCTACTTGTGGTTCTTGTTTTTCTCTTCCACATATCTGCATGCTTAGCACATTTGCCTCTTTCAGATTTCTGGCCACATGTCATCTTATCAAAGTAGCCTTTTCTCACAATTATATGTAAGAGAGCAATCCTCCAGTATCTCCTATCACTATGTACTTACCCTATGTTATTTTTCTTCCTAGAACTTATCACCACCAGACCTTACACATTTTTTTTGTAACCCCACCTAGATTACAAGGCCAATTTTTTATTTACTACTATGCCTAGAATCTGAAGGAAGATGGGGAAATCTAGAGATTGCAGTAGAGATACCACCTTGGAAACCCAAGGAGGGGTTCCTATAAGTAGAATTGACTCAATGGCAGTGAGTGTTTTTTTTTTTTTATTACTTAGAATATCCTCAGTGCTCTGGTAGCATAGTGCCTAAGGCACTTGACTGCTAACCAGGAGGCTAGCTAGTCAAACCCACCAGCCACTCCTCAGAAGGAAGATGAGGCAATCTACTTCCATAGTGATACTGCCTCGGAAACCCAAGGAGGGGTCGCTATGAGTCGGGTCCGACTCGGCGGCACATAACAACAACAACATCTTCAGTGCCTAGAATACATCTGGTACAAAATAGACACTCAAATATTTATTAAATAAATGAATAACTTGATTCAACAGCAAAGCCGTAGAGAGTGTCATTTTCAAAGTACATGCTTTATCCTCTTTTTCTGACTGTTCTTGAATCCCTGTCTTGACTAGATTGAATTTCCAGTCATTTTATTAATGTCTTCACTAGTAATAGAGTCCCTTATTGCCATGTCATATAAGCTCTCAAGTCTATATCATCCTTACCTCTCTCTGGGTGCTAGAGGAAGTTGTAGAATGGTGCCTACCACAAATTCATGCTGGTAATTCTCTTTGGTGAGTTCACGGCATATTCACCATAATCCATTGTAAGTCCCAAGGTCGGAGAGCATAGCAGGCTGCTGAACAACGACATGGCTACATGCAGAGTCCAAGCGTGCCATAGTCTAGAGACCATTCCCAAAGCTGTTTCTTATATATGGAAAGCAGACCACGTACCCAAAGCAGCTACTCAGCTGCTTGTGGCAGATCCCACCATGGGGTGGATTGCCAGCCCCATCATGGGGAATAACTACCACCAGCTACCCAGCCACTCAACCAGGCCCAGCCAAGTTGACACACAAACATAGCTTCCGCAGTGAGTTCATGGCATAGTAACTGTAACAGCTGTTACGTAGATTCTTTTTTCTGGATTTAAGTTGCCAGTACTACTGTGCCATATCCCTTAATATTGGCACATGGTCTTGCCTCTTCTTTTGTAGAGATTTCTAGTCTATTCATTGTATGCTGCTTAACTTATTTCATCCCACTTCACAATTTCTTTGTCTTTTCATTCACTTTCTTATCTGTTTCACCTTTGTCAGAGGTGGTGTTCTTTCTAAGTCTGCACCTTCATTTGTGCTCTTTAAAGCCGCCCTGTCCCATACCACAGTTGGCTTCTACAGCTATACCTTTTCATTTTAAAACCTCCAAACAACTGCCTTTTCATTAATTTCTTTCCTCTCTACTGTCCCCTGAGTGATACAAATGGCTAAGCACTCAACTGTTAGCTAAAAGATTGATGGTTCAAACCCATCCAGAGGTGCCTTGGTAGACAGGTCGGGCAATCTGTCTCCAAAAGATCACAGTTTCAAAAACGTTATGGAGCAGTTCTACTCTGTACCCAGCAGGTAGCTGGTAGTTGGAATCAACTGGACAGCAACCTACAACAATAACACTTTCAAGCATGAGTTTCCCTTCTAATTAGGGAGTGAAGCAAAACAATAACACTGGATCACTTCTTTCTTTATTCTTAGAATGTCCTTCCTTCTTCCTCTGACTACTTCCTCACTCTTTTCCAAGCCCTATCTCAGGTTTTCCCTCTTCTTTGGATTTCTAAATCATGGTAATCTTTCCCTATTTTGCAGTCTTGGTAAATAATCAAATTTCGCCTTTTATTTTCATAATTTTATTTTAAAATAATTTCAGACTTACAGAAAAATTTAAGAATAATAAAAAGAACTTCCTTATACCCCTTATTCAGATTCACCAATTGGTTACATTTTGTCCCATTTGTTTTATCATTGACTCTGTACATGGTTATACAGACAAAATGATATACAAATATATGCATTTTCTTTTCAACTATTTGAGAGTTTCTGTATCAGAATTTGTTTTCTCTTGAATATTTTCCCTTTTGGAATTAATATCTTAAATTTGTATATTATAATAATAGCTTGGTGAATGATAAATTTGGTATTTATAGAGGATATGGCACTTAAACTTTTTGCAGGAAGTTGTGTTTATTTCTCTAATTCTTACAGTATGAATTATAGCAACTTGAACAGATGTAGTGAAATTTATCAACATTCTACAAGTAAAGGTGATTTTCTTTTTTGTAGTCCTGGAAGATTTTGCTCTTTGGTGCAATAAACTTAATATGTACTGGTTTCCTGCTTATGTGGTGCAGTTCCACTAACAGTATAGGTATGTCACCATTCTTATTTTATAGTGTTAGTTATTATTTCACTTATTTTTCTGATTTTAAATGAATGTATATTCTTTTTACATAGACTTATTTTGAAATACACATAAATAAAATATTTAAATGAGAGAATGTATTAAAAAAAAGTAACTCAAACTATAAAGATTGTTTAAAATGAGCAATTATTTTAAAAAGCCTTTGAATATATTTGTAATACAGATTTATTTTTAACATTAATTTTTAAAATAAATTAATATGGAAAATAGTTTATGCAGTGTGTAAGATTTTGAGATTTACTGGATTTTTTTTAAGGAAATTTGGTAATATTTTCCTGTGGCTTGGCCTCTTAGATTTTTATGTACCTTTCTTTTCTTTCTATTATTAAAAGAATACATTTAAAATAGTACTGAAATGATGGAAGCAGGCAGAAAAATGGTCACAGTGCTTTTGAGCACTCGCTGCTTCATTTTCCTAATGGAGAAATGCGGCTTTAAAGTAAGTTTTTGTGCTAACCAACTTTGACCACTGTCTTAGTATCTAGTGCTACTGTAACAGAAATATTATGAGTGAAATGGCTTTAACAAACAGAAATTTATTCTCTCATGGTTTAGAAGGCTAGAAGTCCAGATTCAGAGCGCGAGCTCTAGGGGAAGGATTTCTTTCTCTGCCAGATCTAGGGCAAGTTCCTTGTTTCCTTTCAACATCTGTGGGCTTGGTGTTCCTTGGAGGTGATCATATGTCTTGGTATCAATCATTCCCTAGGTCTAAGAGGTTCCTAGCACAGGAACCAAAGGATGCCATCCACTCCCAGCTCTTTTTTCTTGGTAGTAGTGGGTCTCTCTCTCTCTGCCTCCTTTTCAATCCTTTTATCTTATGTAAGATAAAAAATGATGCAGACCACATCTCAGGGAAACTCTCCTTACATATGATCAGGGCTGATCACATCCGATCACATCATGGGTGATAACGTCATTACATAACCACCAGACTACTGAGAATCATAGCATAATCAAGTTGACAAATTTTTTTGGGAGGGGTGGGGACACAATTCAATACATGATAGCTACCTATATTGATCAAATTTACAAGATAATGGATAATACATGAGGTTTCAATAATGAATATCCCTGATATGAACAGTTTTGATATTTTCTTAAAATGAATTCAGTAACATTTTAATCAATCTTTTTGTTGTTTTTACAGCTTTAACTGCTTATACTTACCTGACAATTTTTGATCTTTTTAGGTAAGTTAAAATCTCAACATCTTTATTACCCTGAGGTAATCTTTAATTAAACCTCACCAAAACTATCCCCTGAAGTCCTTTGAACAAAACAGTAGCTTAATTAGTAAAGTATATCTGCCTTGAGCATTGTACTCTTGAAAAATTATCTGTGCGATTGAATTGACAGCAGCAACTTGAAAGCTTAGATGAGAAGCTTAGGAAGCAATAAGTTTATGTTGAAGATAGTGAAAAATTTAGAAAAAGAGAACGGTTACACAACTAGAAGAATATAGCCAATGTTATTCGATTGTACATGTAGATATTGTTGAAATGGTGTATCTTGGTGTGTGTATTTTCACAAAATAAATTTTAATGCTTTAAGATTAATAAGGAACTTGTTGCATTGAATTTATAAAGAAGTTTGTCTAAGGGAAGGTAATTTTCTAAATGATGCTATTGACATAGAACACAGACAACGATAATTAGGAGATATAATGGAATGAAATATCCCATTTACATAGCAACAGAAGAGATAAATACCCTGGCATAAACTTAAGATTTTTACATGCTATGTGTGAAGGAAACTTTGAGGTGCTTCTGAAGGATACAAAAAGAAGAAAAAATGGAAAGGCATGCCATGGACTTGAATAAGAACACTTACTAAAACCAAACTCACTGCTGTCAAGTTGAATCCGACTCATAGCGACCCCTCCTTGGGTTTCCAAGGTGGTATCTCTATGGAGGTAGATTGCCTAATCTTCCTTTTGAGAAGTGACTGGTGGGTTTGAACCATCAGCCTTGTGGTTAGCAGTCAGATGCCTTAGGCACTGCGTCACTAGAGCGGCCAAACATCGGATAGCAGTTAAAATCATAAAAGATGTTAATTCTTCCTAAATTAATCACATTAGACAAGTTGATTCTAAAGTTTATATGAAAAAACAAGCAAGCATGACCATTATGGGGACCAGATGGCTCATGAACAGAAAGATCCATTGCCATTGAGTCAATTGCAACTAAATAGCAATCCTTTAGGACAAAGTAGAACTGCCTCATAGAGTTCCCAAGGCTGTAAACTTTTTTTTTTTTTTTTGGCTATTCAATCTTTTTTTGTTGTTTTTTTAATTTTATTGTGATTTGGGTGAAAGTTTACAGAGCAAATTCATCTTCCAAACAGCAGTTCATACACATTGTGTTTCGTGACATTGGTTGCAATTCCCCACAGTGTAACGGCTCTCTTCCCACTTCCTCCCTGTAGTTACCTTTTCCCTGTGTCCTTCTTTCCTATGCATTCTTGCCCCCTGAGCTATCTCCCTTTGCAGACACTGCCCTTCTGTTCTCCCATGATTGATCGCTCTAAGGAGTGTATCTACCTGATGTAAATGTTCACCCCATATGCCTGTCTGTTGTTTGGCTGGAAGCTATGGGAGTGATTTCAATTCCAGACCTGAAGGGCAACTAGGGGCCATAGTCTCAAGGGTCTCATCAGACTCTCTGAAACCAGTAAACCTAGTTTTTTTTATGATTTTGAGTTTAGTTCCACATTGTTCCTCCCACTCTATCCAGGATCTCCTGCAATGATCCCTTTCTGAGTGATTGGCACTTGTAACCATTTAGTTCTTTGGTCTCATCATCATATAGGCTGAGGTTCTCATGGCTCACTATTCCCTTGGACTAATTGTTTCCACGTCTCTTTGGTTTTCTTCATTCTTCTTTGCTTTGGACAAGGAGAGACCCAGAACCATCATTGCATCTAGATGGCTGCTTGCAAGCTTTTAAGACCCCAGATGCTACTTATCAAAGTAGGATGTAGCACAATGTTTTTGTGTACTATATTATGCCAACTGAGCTTGATGTCCCCTATGACCATGGTCCTGAGGCCATGGGTCCAACTACTCTTGCCCTCAGGGTGGTTGGCTATGGTTAAGAAGTTACCATAACTTTGCTTCTTGTTAGCTCTGTTATATATATGGACATGCTTAGAGCACATATATATACGTATGTAGAAATATCATCTGTCAACCTTATATATGGTCATGGGTATGTTCCCTTTTCAAAGCTGTAAATCTTTGTGGAAGTAGACTGCCTCATCTTTCTTTCATAGAGTGGATGATAGGTTTGAACCACCAACTTTTTGGTTAACAGCTGAATGCTTTAACCACTACTAAGTTCTCCATATAGAAAGATCAGAGGGACAGAATAGAAGGTTGATTAAAAGACTTAAACACTTAAGAAAATTTAGTATGTGTTATATGTAGTATTTTAAGATGACATAAAGCCCAGAAGCCATAAAAGAAAATATTGATGAATTCAATTTTATTAAAATTTTAAAATCTGAATACTAAATCTTCATAAGCAAAGCAAAACATCAACAACAATCTGGAAAGATATTTGTAATTCCTATCTCAGACAAAAGGTTAATTATGCTAATATTTAAAGAACCTTGTTGTTGTTGTTGTTGTTATTGCAAATTACACCATGGAGTGCCTTAGGCACTATGCTACCAGAGCTCCCTTAAAGAACCTTACAACTTTATAATCATTAAAAAAAAAATTGATAATATGTATGGAAAGAATGTTCACAGAAAAGGAAACATAAATGGCTCTTATAAAAGGGTACTCAGCTTCAATAATGAGAAATACAAATTAATACTACTCTGAGATGCTATGCTTTACTTCTCAGATTGGCAAAGATTAAAAAATTTGAGTATACTGTACTGTTAAGGGTATTGGGGAAGCAAGGACTCTTTTTTTTAAAACAGCTTTATTGATATGTAATTCACATACCATACTCTTTAACCATTCACATGGTATAATTTAGAGGTGTTATAATATATTCATGGAGTTGTACATCCATCACCACAATCAATTTAAGAACATACTGTGTTCTAAAGCAAAAAATGAACTCTACAGTAAAGGTTTTAGAGATTTTCATTCATTATTTAAGGGTAGAATTTCCAAAAATTAATATTCAAACACAGAAGTGAATTTTTCAGGCTTTTTATTATTGGTGAACCTCCTCTACATTTGCCAATCGTATGCTTTTAATTATATACATAATTTCTTAGAAAAATTTTATAATTTATAATTTAAGTTTCAGTATAGATACTTGATTATAGGCATTCACCTATTTGGCTAGCTTTATCCAGTCCAATTTCAGAAAATTTAAAATGAACCAGATTGTTAGCATTGCTTCAGTATAAATTCAGAATTCTTGCTGCTTTCTTGAACTGAAACTGAGGAAGTAACTCAAAGAACTTTGTTGTGATGAATTTGAAGTATACTCAGGGATTGTTGTTGTTGTTGTTGTTATGTGCCGTCGAGTCAAACCTGACTCATAGCGACCCCTCCTTGGGTTTCTGAGGCAGTATCACTACGGAAGTAGGATTGCCCAACCTTCCTTCCGAGGAGTGGCTGGTGGGTTTGAACCGCCAGCCGTCTGGTTAGCAGGCAAGTGTCTTAGCCATTATGCTACCAGGGCTTTTTTTGGTTGTAGCCATCAGACTCCCAGTGGGGCTATATGACAGGGAACAGGGGTGGAGAATCTTTTAATTCTACAGATTCAGGGGTGTTTCATGTAATCCAAGGCAAATATTTACCTAAGCACCAAGACTGGAGCTAAAGTAATCCAACTTCTCTTTCCATCTCTCATTTCTGCTTTCCTATGCATGGGAAGTAATTAGATATATAAGGGAATTAGATCTCTCAATCGAATTTCTTCCTAAAGATCTTTATAGAAGCTTAACTCTTCTCCCCAATTCAGGAATAAAAACTCACTGCCATAGAGTCGATCCTGACTCATAGCGACCCCTCCTTGGGTTTCTGGGGCATATCTCTGTGAAAGTAGATTGCCCAATCTTCCTTCCAAGGAGCGGCTGGTGGGTTTGAACCACCAGCCTTCTGGTTAGCAGTCAAATTCCTTAGGCACTACACCACCAGAGCTCCTAGTTCAGGGATAGAAATACAGATGTATTCTCAACAACTTCCCAATTTATGTTTCTACTGTTCAAGAAAGCAGCCAACTTAGGGGGCATTGAGTTATGTTAGTGGTGGTAAAATAATTTAGAAAAGATAATGAGAATGGTTCCACAACATGAACAATTTAATCAGTGTCACTGAATAAAAATGATTGAATTGGCTTATGTTTTATTGTGAATATTTTCACCATAAAAAAAAAAAGAAAGAAAGAAAGCAGCCAAATTAAGTCTGTAATGCCTTTTTGTTCCAAAGATCCCTGGGTGGTGCAAATAGTTTGCACTTAACTCCTAATGTAAGGGCTGGCAATTCACATTCACCCAAGGATGCTGTGGAAGAAAGGCCTGGTGATCTACTTCCATAAAAATTGTTGTTGTTGTGTGCTATTGAGTAGATTCAGACCCACAGTGACCCTATATGATAGAGTAGAACTCCCCTATAGGGTTTCCTAGGCTGTAATCTTTATGAGAGGGATTGCTAGGTCTTTTCTTCCACCAAGTGGCTGTTGGGTTTGAACCCTGACCTTGCAGCTGAGTATTTAACCATTGTACCACCAGGACTCAGCCAAGAAAACCTTATGGAACAGTTTTAGTCTGTAACACATAGGATTGTCATGAGTTGGATTCAACTCGACAGCAACAAGTTTGTTTGTTGGTTTTGCCTTGGTTCTAATTCCTTATTTTCCAAAGGAAAGACTTTGACTCGTTATGGATGAGGTGCCTACCTCTGGAAGAGTTATCTGTTGCCAGGGAGCAGGGTCATGTAAGGAAACGACAGTTCCCAATGTAACTGTGCAAATGGGAAAAGAGATGAAGACAGTTTATTGTGAAGTGAGGAACTGTGAGCTGGAGAGAGAGTCTCATACCTCCATTTGAGGGTTGCAAAATATTTAGACCTTGATATTTTTAAGACTCTTGCCATAGGCATATGTTAGAAGGATGCATTTTTGTTAATCGGATAACTAAACCTACTTGATTAGGTCTAAAACAAAAAATAGTTACGTGATTTTCACACTGCAGTAGGTTGTTTTAGAGTGAATTTCTCCTGTGATTAGAAAATGAACATAATTTTACCCTGTTCAAAATCAAGGTGTATTAATAAACTAAAAACCAAACAAAACTCAGTGCCATCGAGTCAATTCTGACTCACAGTGACCCCTATTGGGTTTCCCAGGCTATAAATCTTTACGGAAGTAGATTGCCCCATCTTCTTACCACGGAGCAGGTGGGGGGTTTAAACCACTGATCTTCTGGTTAGCAGCCAAATGCCTTATCCACTATGCTACCAGAGCTCTGGTGCTGCAGTACCTAAGGCATTTGGCTGCTAACCAGAAGGTTGGTGGTTCAAAACCCACCAGCTGCTCTGTGGAAGAAAGAGAAAGAAATCTAGTTCCATAAAGGTGTATTCATGTTTATTTTTAACAAAGGTTAAGTAAAGTTTATAAAAGTTAACATTTTTTGTATATACCTGGAATAAAAGATCACTATTATTACTACTGTGTCATTTTTTAGCATTTTCTGTTATGAAATCATTTAGGTTGGATAACTAACTGTTTCAGTAGAGAAAGTATGGATTTAGGCTCCATTTAATTGACTCAAGAATGTATCCTAACTTCTTCGGTTCCTCCACATTAAACTATCATCTTCCAAATAAAACCATGTGTTAGGATGCTTACTGTTATTAAATTATGGTTTATTAGAGACATTTATTAATTTTCCTTTTTTTCTAGTTTAATGACATGTCTAATAAGTTATTGGGTAATGATGAGGAAACCTAGCCCTGCCTACTCATTTGGGTAAGTCCAAATTATTTTATACTAGCTTATTACTATTAAAATAATGATTATAAAAACCAAAAACCAAACTCACTGCCATCAAATCAAGTCCAACTCATAGCAACCCCTCCTTGGATTTCCGAGGCTGTATCACTACGGGAGTAGATTGCCCAACCCTCCTTCCAGGGAGTGGTGGATTTGAACCACCAGTCTTGTGGCTGACAGTCACATGCCTTAGGCACTATGCCACCAGAAGTTCCAAATGGTTATAGTAGGCAGTAAAAAGCTAGACTGAGTATTTCTAGAAAATAAATGTTGCCTATGTAGTAGAACAATGGTCAAAAAAAAAATGAAAGTGGATAGCAAAACAGATTCTAGAAAAAAATAAACCATGAATACATATTCAGTTCTCAAATATTTTGGGAATCTCTTATTTTAGACAAACTACAAAGGATTTTTAACATCTGTCATTCCAGATGTTAAAATAAAAGTGATATATTTTAATATTATGCCATGGTAGAAATGGATTTTTATTTTAAGACTTTGGATTTGTGATAGCAATCAACTAAAAAAGAATTTGAGACTATTTTGTAATTTCTGGAATTAGCCTTGCAAGGTAGAAGATAATCTTTTATATGAATATCTCCTGCTTTTCAAAAGTTCACTTTATGCCACTTTGCATTTAAGAAAGACCTACATCAGTACCTGTTTTCACTAACTGAAAGAAATTTGATGAGGATTTTTGCTTTCTTGAAAGGCGGCTAAAAGCAAAACTAGTGTTCAGTGTTTGTTTTGCAGAGAGCAGTTAAAAAGACAGCATGCGCCCAAGCAGCAGGAATGGTGTTGCCAAGTTCCATTCCTAGAAACTACACTCAGCATCTTAGCATCAAGCTACCATAGCTTTAATTGTATCTGTGAACATAATATATTAGTGTTATTTTAGGTTTTATGTGTTACTTGGTATGATTTGGTAGGGTTTTTTATGGGTATGGGAATTCTCAAAATTTTTTTCCATATACATTGCTTCTTCATGTTATGTAATTTCAGCTTATGAAAGGTTTCCTAACAGTGTTCTACTTTTGGATAGCAGGGGAAACCTGTATTAGAGTTTTTAAAGAAAAGCATTAGGAAAAGATGAGCTTCTTTCATATTCAAGGAAACATCTTAAAAGAAGAATTTTTTTCTGGTACAGAAACTTTTAGACCAAACTATCCCTCTTCTCTACTATACCATTCATTAGGATTACCTTCATATGAACAAAATCAGGTTTTACTTACTTGGGGAAAAAAAAAAACAAAACAAAACTATTGAGTCATTCCTGACTCATAGTAACTCTTTAGGACAGGGTAGAACTGCCCATAGGATTTCCTTGGCTGTAAATCTTTATGGAGACAGATTGCCTCATCTTTCTCCCTCAGAGCATCTAGTGAGTTCAAACCACTGACCTTTTGGTTAGCAGCCAAATGCTTTAATCACTATGCCAACCAGAGCTCCTATCTTTGCTTACTTAATGGGATTAAATAAACATGAAATTTTAATGGGGAAAAAAAAAAAGTATTCATAAGTGTCACTGATATTTGATAGGGTTGGACTATTACTGTGATAATCAGCAGTAAGGTATACATATCAGTGTATGAAAATGTATGTAACTCTAAGTGTCTGATATATCTGTGACTCTAAGTCAAGGTTTTAGTTGCAAGTGACAGAAGTCCAGCTCAAACTAGGGGGAAAAAATAGGAACATCAATAATTATGTAACTAATTGGTGGGAAAACTAGGGTGACTGGCATAAGGACTAGAATACTCAGGACATTGTCTTTCTCTTCTCTCTCAGGTGTGCTTTTGCTACATGCCAGGTTTAATCTCTCAGACTGCTTTTCTCTCCTAGTTAGAATGATAACTCTTAGTAAGACCTTAACTCACATATTCTCACCTTCACCCTAGAGAGTACTTTCCCCCAGCTTTAGTTCAGAAAATCATTGGAAAGAACCATTGATTGGTCCAATTCAGAACAGATGTCAGTCTTTAGACCAGTTTCTATGGCTTAGGAGACAAAGTCATGTAAGGAAAGATAATTCTGATTTTGGCTTATTAGCCTGACTAAATAGAAAAAGAGGGAGCAGTTAAATAAAGTTAAAACATTGAAGTATAATACAGTCAGTCACATAGTTTGAATTATCATTTATATCATTTATATTTATATTTCTTTGCAAGAAAGGCTCCTTCTTGTTATTTAAATCTTAATGTCACTAAATTCTGATGTCATTAAATAACTGAGTGGCTCAGTGTAAAATGGTTAACCTGTTGTTGTGTTAGAGCACCTATAATTCTCAGTACAGAACTTAACAAATAAATTATTTGTTATTTATTTCCCTTTTAAAATGTAAATTTCTTGCTAGCAAGAATTTTATCTTGTTTTCTCTGTGCTTGTCATTCTGATGTTCTCTCTGTATTTGTTGAATGAAGAATAACCGAAACCCAGCCAAACCCACTGCCATCGAGTCAATTCCAACTAATAGCGACCCCATTGGGTTTCTGAGGTGGTAAATTTTTACAGACGTAGATTGCTTGGTCTTTCTTCCGTGGAGTGGTTGGTGGGTTTGAACCACCAACCTCTTGGTTAGCAGTCCAATGCCTTAGACACTGTGCCACCAAAGCTCCTTGGAAGAAAGAATGGGCAGAGGGAAATATTAAAAATACAAAGGTAAAGAAAAAAAAATTACCTGTAGCCTAACTAGGAGCTCTGGTGGCTTAGTGCCTAAGGCATTTGACTGCTAACCAGAAGGTGGTGGTTCAAACCCACCAGGTACTCCTTGGAAAGGAGGTAGGGCAATCTACTTCCATAGTGATACCAACTCGGAAACCCAAGGAGGGGTCGCTATGAGTGGAAATCGACTCAATGGCAGTGAGTAGCTTAACTGGACAGGCAGCAGTTAAGGATGATACTTTCTTAGTCAAGATCATAAAAGCCATCATAGAAATAAATGCTTTGGATTGAGGGGACTTTAACCGTCCAGACACGCTAATTGCTTTGTTCTGTAAAAACCAGAGTATCTCACAAATGCCTGACTTATTTTAAATCACAATTTAATCTCTCAAAAAGTAGAAGATACCACATGGCAAACTGGCATTGTAAATCTGATTCTAACCTCAAAGAAAAACAAGTTGTTTGGTGCAACGTGCTATGGTAAAAAGAGCAATTGGATTATGGGATCTGGAAAACGTTCATATACTTACCACATTAAATAGAACACAAAAATAGGAAGGATTTTTAAAAATGTTAATGATAGAATCAAATATCAAAATAATATAGGCAAGCTAGAATGCTGGATTGAAATAAAAAATAGACATTGAGAATATGTATAAACTCTTAGATTTCTTTTTAAAAAATCTTTTATAAGACCATAGAAAGGATAAAAAAACTAGCTTAACACCAGTTCATAAAGGAAAAGTCTGAGCTCTTTGGTCAAACACAAGGGCAGTAAGAACCAACAATCAGTAGGATTATAGTAACTTTTTAAATAAATGGATGATCGTTATTTTAAATGTATATATAACCTTAAAAATATCTAAATGAAACCCATTACTTTTGAACTGATTTCAATTCATACTGACCCTATAGGACAGAGTAGAACTGTCCCATAGAGTTTCCAGTATTGTAAATCTTTATGGAAGCAGACTGCCACATCTTTTCTCCCAGAGTGGCTGGTGGGTTAAACCACCAACCTTTCAGTTAGCAGCCAAGTGCTTAACCACTGCACAACCGGGCCTCATTATATATAAACTTCAAACCAAATGTGTCAGATTATATCTGGCATGTTGTGTTGAATTCTACATGCTTCTCTTTATCAGTGATCTTTGTAACTTAAAATTTATAAATTAGGATTTATAGTGGCTAACATTCTGGATGGTAAAGAGGATACAGAACATCTTTCATGTGAAAAAGAATAGACTAATTAATTTAGTATGCAGTTCATTTCTTCAAGTTTTTAAAAGGTTGCCATGGTTGGGACATTTGTGTTTAAAGGTATTACTAGGTTTATTAGGTAAATGATAGATTTTAGTTCAATTATAAGGAAGAACTTGTTTTATTCTTTTTTTATTTTTTAATTTTTATTGCAATTTGGGTGAAAGTTTACAGAACAAATTCATTTTCCATACAGCAGTTCATACACATTTTGTTTCATGACATTGACTGCAATTCTCAACAATATAACAGCTCTTTTCCCACATTCTCCCCATAGTTACCTCTTCCCTGTGTCCTTGCTTTTTTCTTATTTAAAACCAGAATATGCTCATTATGGAAAAATTAAATAGACAATCATAACACATTAATGTTAATCTTCCATATCCCCTTCTATGTATCAATATGTACATATTTTTATATATACCTTACATACTTTTTTTTAGGTGAACTTTTATTGAAACGTAGCAAAAATAGCATAAAATACATAAATTTTAAAGGTGCAGTTTGATGAATTTTAACAAATGAATATATTTATACTGCTATCTAGAACATGATATAAAACATTATAAGCCTCCTGTCATGTCCACTCGAAGTCAAACCCTACCAAAAGTAACCAGTGACATCCATCATTGTACATTTTTTTTTTTTTTAATTGTGATTTGGGTGAAGATTTACAGAGCAAATTCACCATCATTGTACATTTTGCCTGTTTTTAAACATCATATAAAATGCTATTACAGTATATTTTTATAGCAATAATTCATCCTTCTTCATTGTATTATTATTATTTTTTCTTTTTATGAATATACTGCAATTTGTTAATAGTTCAACTATTAAAGAACATTTGGGTTTTTGCCAGCTTTCAATTATTATTATTATTATTATTATTATTATTATAAAATTACTATGAATATTTTTTTATATCTCTTAGCGCTCAAATTCCCTTTTTTATGTTGCTATATGTCTTTGAGTGGAATTACTCAATCATGAGATTTGCATGTGTTCATCAGCAGAAGATACGATAATAATACAAACAGTTTTACAGAGTAATTGTA